TACATTAACATAAGACGAACATCGGAAAGGGACTATGAGAACGATATTGCAATCAAAGCGAAAAAACAACCTAAGTTACTACACAGTCATATAAGAAGAAAAATGTCGGTGAACGACCAAGTGACAAGACTAAGGAAGACAGAGGGGGCATATACTGAAAGTGACAAGGAAATCTGCGAGGCACTGAATGCCAGTTTCCATGGAGTGTTCACTACCGAGCCTGAGCAGCTCCCATTGTTGGAAGGGGTTACCCTAGATGAAAGACTATCAGATATAGAGGTGACAGCAGAGGAGGTAATGAAACAGGTGACAACTCTAGATGCAACTAAAGCAGTTGGACCAGACAAAGTATCACCGTGGATACTAAAAGAAGCAGCACAGGCCCTCAGCGTGCCTCTGGCAATGATCTTTAATGAGTCACTTATGTCAGGAGAATTGCCCAGTTGCTGGAAGAAGGCAAATGTCGTGCCGATCTTCAAGAAAGGAGATAGGGAGGAGGCACTTAACTACAGACCTGTATCACTGACAAGCATCCCCTGTAAAATACTGGAAAGAATAATTAGGCTACGACTGGTTGCACACCTGGAGAACATTAGGTTTGTGAACAAACATCAACATGGGTTCTGGACAGGGAAATCGTGCCTAACAAACCTTCTGGAATTCTATGATAAAATAACGAGGATAAGACAGGACAGAGATGGTTGGGCAGACTGCATATTTCTGGACTGCCAAAAAGCCTTTGATACAGTACCGCACATGAGACTGCTGTTCAAGCTCGAGAGGCAGGCGGGGGTGGGGGGAAAGGTCCTAGAATGGATAAGGAACTACCTAACAGGAAGGAGCCAAAGAGTTACGGTAAGGGGCGAGAAGTCGGACTGGCGAACAGTAACAAGTGGAGTACCACAAGGATCGGTGCTGGGACCAATTCTATTTCTTGTGTATGTTAACGACATGTTTACAGGCGTAGAGTCCTACATGTCGATGTTTGCGGATGATGCAAAGTTGATGAGAAGAGTTGTGACAGATGAGGATTGCAGGATCCTCCAAGAGGACCTGAACAGATTGCAGAGATGGTCAGAGAAATGGCTACTAGAATTCAACACGAGCAAATGTAAAGTTATGGAAATGGGACTAGGAGATAGGAGACCAAAGGGACAGTACACAATGAAGGGGAACAGCCTACCTGTAACGACGCGTGAAAGAGACCTGGGGGTGGACGTAACACCTAATCTATCTCCTGAGGCACATATTAATAGGATAACGACAGCAGCGTACTCTACACTGGCAAAAGTTAGAACATCATTCAGAAACCTAAGTAAGGAGGCATTTAGGGCGCTTTACACTGCCTACGTAAGGCCAGTCTTAGAGTATGCCGCTCATCATGGAGTCCCCATCTGAAGAAGCATATAATGAAACTGGAAAAGGTTCAGAGGTTTGCAACGAGACTCGTCCCAGAGCTACGAGGGATGGGGTATGAAGAGCGCCTGAGGGAACTGTGCCTTACGACACTAGAAAGAAGAAGGGAGAGGGGGGACATGATAGGAACGTATAAGATACTCAGAGGAATTGACAGAGTGGACATAGACGAAATGTTCACACGGAATAGTAACAGAACGAGAGGACATGGATGGAAGCTTGAAACTCAGATGAGTCACAGAGATGTAAGGAAGTTTTCTTTTAGCGTGAGAGTAGTGGGGAAATGGAATGCACTTCAGGAACAGGTTGTGGAAGCAAATACTATTCATAATTTTAAAACCAGGTATGATAGGGAAATGGGACAGGAGTCATTGCTGTAAACAACCGATGCTCGAAAGGCGGGATCCAAGAGTCAATGCTCGATCCTGCAAGCACATATAGGTGAGTACATATAGGTGAGTACACGGGTGACATCACACACCGTTACACCAGGCCCACATTCCTAAGCCAGGGTCAACAGGTGATCAATACAAGCTTACAGCAGCAGCAGCTGTAAGCTAAACTACTGCATGTGATGATACACATTTACTATGCTGTCAGCTGCCACACCATTACCAGCAACAACTACTCCTCAAGAGGGAACACCTGCTACAGCAAAGTAAAGCACTACGGGCTCACCATAGCCCGTGCTACTTGGAACTTTTTGTTCCAGGTAGCGAATCTTTAACAACAACAATGCTACAGCACCTCTCAGGTAACACTCAAGTGGTCGTTCACAGAGTTTACGGATAGAGTGGTCGTTCAGAGAGGCTAAAGTGGTCGTTTTTAGAGGTTATCTTGAGACGATTGATTGATTGATTGATTTGAGGTCAAGGCATAACCTGTCGTTCTGAGAGGTTAAGGCTAAAGTGGTCACAATTTATTGACAATAAAACTGACAACAGTGACCCAATAAACCTGACAATAGAAAGAGCAGCACCACTGGTACACCCTCAAGAATGCCACCAGTACACCTACACCACCACCAGTACACCCGCAAAGTATCAAAGGCACCAACAAAATCGACCAGCAGAAGGCAGTAGCAGCAGCGGGCCAGTAGCACCAGCTAATTATTACGACCACTGGCCAGAGCCCAAGAGCTGCAGTTCAACCCCAGCAAAGGCGTGGCTGTGATTGGATGGCTCGACCCTGACGGTTGAGCGGGTCGGGTTGGCTTCCTGTCGCGACTCTTCAAAGATCGGCGAGGTCTTTGGTCTCTCTGTATACATACATACACTTGGTGTGTCTGTATACATACATACACTTGGTGTGTCTGTATACATACATACACTTGGTGTGTCTGTATACATACATACACTTGGTGTGTGTGTGTGTACACTTACATATACACACACTTGCATGCAGCAGTCTGCAAACACACTCCAAATGTAATGCTCTCGCTCCTTCCTGCTGTAACCTCCAAATCATCACTCCCCAAGTGTTACATAGAGGCAACATGGCCACAACACGCCACAGTCACAGAGGCAACATGGCCACAACATGCCACAGTCACAGAGGCAACATGGCCACAACACGCCACAGTCACAGAGCCATTAACTGCCAGAAGGGCACAAGACAACCTAACTGTGTAAAAGTGAACAATTAGAATGTGCTAAAACCGGAGGCGATCGAGACAAACTTCACCCCCAGTCTCAAAGAGTCGGTATGATACCAGGCAAGAGGGCCCAAGCGTCACTGTAATAGGATACCGTGTGACTGAAAAGGCGGAGCCTAGGTGCCAAAGCTTGCCCTTGCAAGCACAGGTGAGTATTCATAGCTTTCCATCCACCTACCTTGCTTCATGGAGAGCTCCATGAACTACCCCCCCACCATGTGGGGGTGGGAAGTTCATGGGTGGGGGTAGCTCTCTACCCCCACCATCCCCCACATTGTTAGAGAGCAGGTGACACACTCCAACACTTCCGGAAGGCCCCACAGCTCTCTAATACTTTAGAACACAAAGTTTTTATTTTATTCTCCCTGACACCCTTCCGTCTACCCCTATCAATCTCCACCACTCAACCCTCCCTTCTACCACTATCTGTACCACCTAACACCATCCTTCACTGCCTCTACCACCCACCTATCACCACCTAACCCCCCCTTACTGCCATTACAACCTACCCATCTCCACCTAACCCCCTCCATTGCCCTAACCTCTACCCCCCTCCCCATTAATGTGAGACACTATACAGAGTACGAATGTTATTCTAGGGCGCCCTTAGATCACTCGCACCATATCTTGAGATGATTTCGGGGCTTTTTTAGTGTCCCCGCGGCCCGGTCCTCGACCAGGCCACCACCCCCAGGAAGCAGCCCGTGACAGCTGGCTAACACCCAGGTACCTATTTTACTGCTAGGTAACAGGGGCATAGGGTGAAAGAAACTCTGCCCATTGTTTCTCGCCGGCGCCTGGGATTGAACCCAGGACCACAGGAGCACAAGTTCAGTGTGCTGTCCGCTCGGCCGACCAGCTCCCAGAGGTCAATGTGACCATTCTCACATTAGCGACAACGTCCAACTATAAATACGGCGGTTTTCATGAAATTAAAAGCGCCACAATATTGACGTTTTCCGAGACTACAAATAGCCTCACTCTCCATAATTTATGTGTTGTTTGACGAGGCTCGAATGGTTTTGGTCGGCCCGAGGCTATCGGTTGCAACTGGTTGATGTCGGCGTATGTTTCCACGGGCTTGCACTCCAGCTGTTTGTTCCCTGTGGTGACTCTGACTAATACACGAGTGTTGGAACACGTGAAATAATTTACACACCGTCGCTGGTGACACCTTCGTTCCCGTAGGTCATGTGCTACAAGGTGCTGCACCTTGTGGAACATGACTGCAACATGCCACACTCACAGAGGCAACATGGCCACAACATGCCACAGTCACAGAGGCAACATGGCTACAACATGCCACAGTCACAGAGGCAACATGGCCACAACATGCCACAGTCACAGAGGCAACATGGCCACAGTCACAGAGGCAACATGACCACTATGACACTACCACATGGCCACAACATGCCACAGTCACAGAGGCAACATGACCACTATGACACTACCACATGGCCACAACATGTCACAGTCACAGAGGCAACATGACCACTATGCCTCTACTACATGGCCACAACATGTCACAGTCACAGAGGCAACATGGCCACAACATGCCACAGTCACAGAGGCAACATGGCCACAGTCACAGAGGCAACATGACCACTATGCCACTACCACATGGCCACAACATGCCACAGTCACAGAGGCAACATGACCACTATGCCACTACCACATGGCCACAACATGCCACAGTCACAGAGGCAACATGGCCACAACATCCCACAGTCACAGAGGCAACATGACCACTATGCCACTACCACATGGCCACAACATGCCACAGTCACAGAGGCAACATGACCACTATGCCACTACCACATGGCCACAACATGCCAACAGTCATAACGGTCTGTCATATAACTGAAAACTTCGTCTTCTCTCTCGTGAAGGAAATACCCTTTTGCCGTACCTGTGGGCACATTACTGCACATTAGTCGCTGCTCCCGGTACACAGTCGCTGCTCCCGGTACACAGCCGCTGCCCCCGGTACACAGCCGCTGCTCCCGGTACACAGTCGCTGCCCCCGGTACACAGCCGCTGCCGCCGGTACACAGCCGCTGCTCCCGGTACACAGCCGCTGCCCCCGGTACACAGCCGCTGCCCCGGTACACAGCCGCTGCCCCCGGTACACAGCCGCTGCTCCCGGTACACAGCCGCTGCCCCCGGTACACAGTCGCTGCCCCGGTACACAGCCGCTGCCCCCGGTACACAGCCGCTGCCCCCGGTACACAGTCGCTGCCCCCGGTACACAGTCGCTGCTCCCGGTACACAGTCGCTGCCCCCGGTACACAGCCACTGCCCCCGGTACACAGCCGCTGCCCCCGGTACACAGCCGCTGCTCCCGGTACACAGTCGCTGCCCCCGGTACACAGTCGCTGCCCCCGGTACACAGCCGCTGCCCCCGGTACACAGCCGCTGCTCCCGGTACACAGTCGCTGCCCCCGGTACACAGCCGCTGCTCCCGGTACACAGCCGCTGCCCCCGGTACACAGCCGCTGCCCCCGGTACACAGCCGCTGCTCCCGGTACACAGCCGCTGCTCCCGGTACACAGCCGCTGCTCCCGGCACACAGCCGCTGCTCCCGGCACACAGTCGCTGCCGCTACACAGTCGCTGCCCCCGGTACACAGCCGCTGCTCCCGGTACACAGCCGCTGCCCCCGGTACACAGCCGCTGCTCCCGGTACACAGCCGCTGCCCCCGGTACACAGCCGCTGCCCCCGGTACACAGCCGCTGCTCCCGGTACACAGCCGCTGCTCCCGGTACACAGCCGCTGCTCCCGGTACACAGCCGCTGCCCCCGGTACACAGCCGCTGCCCCCGGTACACAGCCGCTGCTCCCGGTACACAGCCGCTGCCCCCGGTACACAACCCTGCCCCCGGTACACAGCCGCTGCCCCCGGTACACAGTCGCTGCTCCCGGTACACAGCCGCTGCTTTTATCATTTACTGTCGCCAGGAACCAAAAAGAGTAATAACATGTGCAGGTGTACAAGGCGCGCAGGTGTATAATGCATGCAGGTGTATAATGCACGCAGGTGTATAACGCATGCAGATGTGTAAAACATGCAAGGACTGGCTCTTAATCAGCATACAATGCTCGGCCAGCCTGCACACTCCAGCCTGCACACTCCAGCCCTTTCTCCTGCCAATTGCAAATACATTTCAACTTGAGCGCCGGAGACTGGAAGCCAGCAATCCACACCCAAGATCGTCCAGGGGCGGGCCTTGGGGCGTTCCAGGAAGGAGGGTATTCATGGGGGGCGTTCCAGGAAGGAGGGTATTCATGGGGGGCGTTCCAGGAATGAGGGTATTCATAGGGGCGTTCCAGGAATGAGGGTATTCATGGAGGCGTTCCAGGAAGGAGGGTATTCATGGAGGCGTTCCAGAAAGGAGGGTATTCATGGGGGCGTTCCAGGAAGGAGGGTATTCATGGGGGCGTTCCAGGAAGGCGGGTATCCATGGGGGGCGTTCCAGGAAGGCGGGTATCCATGGGGGGCGTTCCAGGAAGGAGGGTATTCATGGGGGCGTTCCAGGAAGGAGGGTATTCATGGGGGGCGTTCCAGGAAGGCGGGTATCCATGGGGGGCGTTCCAGGAAGGCGGGTATCCATGGGGGGCGTTCCAGGAAGGAGGGTATTCATAGGGGCGTTCCAGGAAGGAGGGTATTCATAGGGGCGTTCCAGGAAGGAGGGTATTCATGGGGGCGTTCCAGGAAGGAGGGTATTCATGGGGGGCGTTCCAGGAAGGAGGGTATTCATGGGGGGCGTTCCAGGAAGGAGGGTATTCACGGGGGCGTTCCAGGAAGGAGGGTATTCACGGGGGCGTTCCAGAAGGAGGGTATTCACGGGGGCGTTCCAGGAAGGAGGGTATTCACGGGGGCGTTCCAGGAAGGAGGGTATTCACGGGGGCGTTCCAGGAAGGAGGGTATTCATGGGGGGCGTTCCAGGAAGGAGGGTATTCATGGGGGGCGTTCCAGGAAGGAGGGTATTCATGGGGGGCGTTCCAGGAAGGAGGGTATTCACGGGGGCGTTCCAGGAAGGAGGGTATTCACGGGGGCGTTCCAGGAAGGAGGGTATTCACGGGGGCGTTCCAGGAAGGAGGGTATTCACGGGGGCGTTCCAGGAAGGAGGGTATTCACGGGGGCGTTCCAGGAAGGAGGGTATTCACGGGGGCGTTCCAGGAAGGAGGGTATTCACGGGGGCGTTCCAGGAAGGAGGGTATTCACGGGGGCGTTCCAGGAAGGAGGGTATTCACGGGGGCGTTCCAGGAAGGAGGGTATTCACGGGGGCGTTCCAGGAAGGAGGGTATTCACGGGGGCGTTCCAGGAAGGAGGGTATTCACGGGGGCGTTCCAGGAAGGAGGGTATTCACGGGGGCGTTCCAGGAAGGAGGGTATTCACGGGGGCGTTCCAGGAAGGAGGGTATTCACGGGGGCGTTCCAGGAAGGAGGGTATTCACGGGGGCGTTCCAGGAAGGAGGGTATTCACGGGGGCGTTCCAGGAAGGAGGGTATTCACGGGGGCGTTCCAGGAAGGAGGGTATTCATGGGGGCGTTCCAGGAAGGAGGGTATTCATGGGGGCGTTCCAGGAAGGAGGGTATTCAGGGGCGTTCCAGGAAGGAGGGGGGGCGTTCCAGGAAGGAGGGTATTCATGGGGGGCGTTCCAGGAAGGAGGGTATTCATCCAGGAAGGAGGGTATTCATGGGGGCGTTCCAGGAAGGAGGGTATTCATGGGGGGCGTTCCAGGAAGGAGGGTATTCATGGGGGGCGTTCCAGGAAGGAGGGTATTCATGGGGGGCGTTCCAGGCAGGAGGGTATTCATGGGGGGCGTTCCAGGAAGGAGGGTATTCAGGTAACGTTCCAGGAAGGAGGGTATTCAGGTAACGTTCCAGGAAGGAGGGTATTCAGGTAACGTTCCAGGAAGGCGGGTATTCATGGACGCTTACGGAAAGTGATCATTCCTACGTCGTTCCAGCGGAAAGGTAGAAATGCATAGGAACTTCCAGTAAGTGGGGAATTTGTGGGCCATTCCAGTAAGTGGAGTATTCATGGGGGTATTCAACGGTACATTTCCAGGAGAATTCTACGGGTTTTCGAGTAAACCAAGAATAATATATGGAATAGAGATCAAAATATTATTCTATGGAATTCCATAGAATATTATATTAGTCCATCATGAAAATTTACGGGGGATATTTTACAAATATTTGAAAAGCATTCCAGAATATTCAAGATAATACTTAGGGGGAATTACGAATGTATGGAACACCACACTGGGAGAATGGAACACCACACCGACAGCACGGAACACCACAACGGATGTCCGGAACACCCGAACGGGAGCCCGGAACAACACACCAGGAGCCCGGAACACCACATCGGGAGTCCGGAACACCCGAACGGGAGCCCGGAACAACACACCAGGAGCCCGGAACACCACATCGGGAGTCCGGAACACCCCAAACCGGAGTCCGGAACACCCCAAACCGGAGTCCGGAACACCCCAAACCGGAGTCCGGAACACCCCAAACCGGAGTCCGGAACACCCCAAACCGGAGTCCGGAACACCCCAAACGGGAGTCCGGAACACCCCAAACGGGAGTCCGGAACACCCCAAACGGGAGTCCGGAACACCCCAAACGGGAGTCCGGAACACCCCAAACGGGAGTCCGGAACACCCCAAACGGGAGTCCGGAACACCCCAAACGGGAGTCCGGAACACCCCAAACCGGAGTCCGGAACACCCCAAACGGGAGTCCGGAACACCCCAAACGGGAGCCCGGAACACCCCAAACGGGAGCCCGGAACACCCCAAACGGGAGCCCGGAACACCCCAAACGGGAGTCCGGAACACCCCAAACGGGAGTCCGGAACACCCCAAACGGGAGTCCGGAACACCCCAAACGGGAGTCCGGAACACCCCAAACGGGATCACGTTCCAAACTTTTAATCAAGAGTATTTCAAAGAATAAATTTTACCGGAAATACATTAATTCCCAAATGAAATTTCTATAATACCTCAGATGGCTTTTTTTTAACCCATCCTGAGGTGTCAGGATGATTTTAAAAAGGCATCTGTGATTTTCTTCCCCATTCTAAGATGAATGGGAAGAAAAGCACAAGCTTGAGAGAAAATGTTACACAAACATGTTCATATATTCCAAGAATACGTCAAAATATTCCAAGAATACGTCAAAATATTCCAAGAATACGTCAAAATATTCCAAGAATACGTCAAAATATGCCTTTAATACGCCAAAATATTTCTTAATACGTCAAAATATTCCTTAATACGTCAAAATATTCATTAATACGTCCAAATATTCCTTAATACGTCAAAATATTCCAAGAATACGTCAAAATATTCCAAGAATACGTCAAAATATTCCAAGAATACGTCAAAATATTCAAAATTGAACTTAAAGATCGCTCCAGCAAGGAAAAATGCGGACCAAACACAGCTCAAAATACATTTTGAAACCTTAAGCTTTGCCCAAAATTCAGGCAAAGCCCTGGAAAAATGTATGTGATATATATAACTAGTTCCAGATGTGCTGGAAGAGGCGGCCGGGTAGTACTTGGAGAGTTCATGGAATGGGGGGCCAACTACCCCATTTGGGAGTAGGGTGGGGGATACATCCTGGATGATAAATATATTAATTTTTTAATTAAAAAAAATGAATGTATAATGAACGTTGAAAATATTGTTCTTCTTATAACTATTATTATAATATTATGGTGTTGTCAATGGTGTCAAGAATGGTTGACGTATCAAGCAATGACCCAGCTGCCTGATACGGCCAAGATGTCGGACAAGACCAGATCCTTGCCGGCCTCCTCGGCCAAAAATCTACCCACTATACTTCGCGGTCAAACCCACAATATAACAAAGACCTTCACTGTCTTGTCTCCTCCATCTAGTGCCCAACTTGGAAGGGTGTTCCGTGACGAACACAAACCATCGCTCCTCACACGCTAAGTGACCAAACAATCATCTTGGATACTTACAGCCCCTCGCGTCTTCACCTGCAGCAGTCCGTCTTACCTGCAACAAGGAAGGAGGAAGTTAACACACTTAACACAGTGAAAGCATGTTGGTCATTGCAATACTGTATATATATATACCATATAAAGTGATGCAATGGAGATGGTGTATAATGCAACATGCGTGATGTATACTGCTATATATATATATATATATATATATATATATATATATATATATATATATATATATATATATATATATATATATATATATATATATATATAGTTAACCACACTACCGTCTATGTATTTCCTTCCCCTGGGCGCTGGTCAACCCGTTCTCACACAAGACAGCACATATATGACTTAATGCTTAAAGTCAGTATGTTGAATATGAATTAGTAAATATGTGATATATTCCCAGTTACTTTTTTTTCCAAGGCCCAAACTCTTCCTCACGTACCAACTTGCGTCTCACAGTACCCGTCCGTCAACCTAGATAGCAGAATAGTCGTGATTGGTTCAATTATAAGGAAAATTGTACTTTTCAGGTCCCACATGGGTTGTGAAATTTACCTACTATTGTCCATGCTCTTAGAATATTATAGATCAGCTACTTCCTATTGAAGGTTCGTAGTTTTGTTTTGAGAAATATTAGTTGTTCTTAGTAAATTATAATAAGCACTAAAAATTATTACATAGAATAACAGTCCTTCACCAATCAATATTATATACCATAGTTGGTGCTTTACAAATCTTTAAAGGATGTTTTGTAGGAACGCTAACAGAAAACGATGGTTCATTGGAATGTCTATGGGGTAAACTACTCTAAACAGGATGGTATTGTGTCTACTATACCAACTACCGGATCGGTATATTGTCCACTACCACCTGTTAGGTGAGTAAGGGGTGCAATACCACCCACAGGATGAGTATGGGGATCACATCCACCCACAGGAAG